GTACATGCCCTTGACCGGAATCGAACCTGGGACCTTTCAATCCACAGACCAACGCTCTACCGCTGAGCCAAACCAGTTTCGGCAGCAACCATCAGTTTTATTGTTGCCTTACTATAGCCTAGCAGGTGTGGCTCAGTGGTTGAGCATTGATCTATGAACCAGGAGGTCATGGTTCGATTTCTGGTCAGTGTTGTCAGCTATTTCCCCCGTAGGGTACATGCACCAGGCAGCCAATCAGTGATTCTCTCTCATCATTGATGTTTCTATTCCTCTTTCCCTCTCTCCCTCTCCTTTCCTCTCTAAAATCAATAAAAATATTTTTAAAAGGAATAAGACAACTATACCCACTATTTCCACCATTAATCAACATTACAGTGGGTTTTAGCTACTAGTAAGACAAGAAAAAACAATATGTGGGTAACTATTGGAAAATGACATTACACTATCATTATTTGCTTGTGATTTTATTATCTACTGAAAAGAATCCAAACTAGAATTAATAAGGGAATTCAGCAATGAGGTCTGTAGAATAGCAACATATCTATATCAATAACTTTCATATACATGAGAAATACCAATTTAAAAGGATCCAGGAATAAAGAGCCCATGATAATAGCAGCAAAACTTTATAAAATTTCCATGAGCAAACATATTGCAAGCTCTTTGTGGAGATCTTACAAAAGTTTCCTGAGAAGAGCAAAGAAGACTTCACTAAACAGACAAGTATACTAAATTCATAAATGGAGAGATCTAATATTCTAAAAATATTCTGTCTCCCCAACTCAATCACTTTAATGCAATCCAATACAAACTTTGTTTTCCATGGAACTTCATACTTCATAGAGAGGAATAAATATGCAATAAAAGCCCACACTGTTATTTTTTTGTTTTAAGACAAATGGAAGGGAAATACTTGTTCTATCTTATATTAAGACAGGTTATAAAACTAATAATTAAAACAATTAAATTGGTGTTAAAAATAGGTATTTAGGTCAACAAAACAGAATAAAAAGTCAAAGAAACAGAATAAAGAGTCCCATGCATAGATGGAAATTTAGGATAAAAAAAGGAATAGCATCTGAAAACTATAGGTAGAAAATGAATTAGTCAAGAAAGGATTTGAAAATATATGGTTTGGCAGCAATCAGCTATCCTTATAAAATTATCTTCCTACTTCTTTTTTAAATATATTTTTATTGATTTCAGAGAAGAAGGGGAAAGGATAGAGAGATAGAAACATCAATGATGAGAGAGAATCATTGATTGGCTGCCTCCTGCATGTTCCACATTGGGGATGGAGCCCACAACCCAGGCATGTGCCTTGACCAAGAATCAAACATGATTTCCTGACTCATACGTCACCACTCCGGTGAGCCACTCCGGCCAGGTTATCTTCTTACTTCTTATCATACATATCAATAAATTGATATGTATGATAAGAAGTAAGATGGATTTTCATTTATTTTTATTTTTATTTTTTTTTATTTTTTATTTTTTTTATTTTTTTTAATATATTTTATTGATTTTTTTACAGAGAGGAAGGGAGAGAGATAGAGAGCCAGAAACGTCGATGAGAGAGAAACATCGACCAGCCGCCTCCTGCACATCCCCCACTGGGGATGTGCCCGCAGCCAATGTACATGCCCTTGACCGGAATCGAACCCGGGACCTTTCAGTCCGCAGGCCGACGCTATACCACTGAGCCAAACCGGTTTTGGCAATTTTTATTTTTATTTTTTAATATATATTTTATTGATTTTTTACAGGGAGAAAGGAAGAGAGAGAGAGAGTTAGAAACACCGATGAGAGAGGAGCATAGATCAGGTGCCTCTTGAACACCCCCTACTGGGGATGTGCCCGCAACCAAGGTACATGCCCTTGACCAGAATCGAACCCGGGACCCTTCAGTCCGCAAGCCCACGCTCTATCCACTGAACCAAACCGGTTTCGGCTCCAGATGGATTTTTAAATAATGCAAAAACAAAACAAACATATTTGAAGAAAAAATATTTTAAATATTTTAAAAATATTTTAAACATCTTGATGTCTCTATTACTTGGGATTCTTGGTTCTAACAGAACCAATAAAAACCAATCCTGATTAACTTATGCAGAACAACTAATTTATGGGCAGGATACAGTAACTTAACAAATGGAAATGTCAAGAACCACAAGTCTCTCTTAAAATGGAAGACCCATCAAAGAAAAGTCATAAATTTGTGTACAAATGTGTAAGGAACTTCTAGAATGTATTGGGAATATGATTTGTTACAGCCACTTTGGAGGGCAATCTAGCAGTATCTAGTAAAGTTGTGCCCTCATCTGTTTGTCATTCAGCATGTTTGTAATATTGCTTCAGCATCTGGCTTTCCTTGAGAGTGACCAATGGTCCCAGTTTACCTGAGACAAAGAGGCAGAGAGATCTCTAGGATGCCAGACTTTCAGTGTCCAAACTGGGAAAATGCAGGCAAGCAGAGATGAATTGGTTTCCCTATTCCCCTGCTAAGCTGTTATTACCATGAGGGCAGGGGTCATTTGGGGCTTGTTCACTGTCTGGGAGGGTAAGGATTTTTATTTTAAAGCTGTTTGGGGATTTGGGAAATGAATGTAAATACCTTTGTTGGTCCAGTTGTTCTCATAAATTAGTACACAGTAGGTGTCAAGGTACCATTTTTTGCAGATAAGAAACTTCACTTAACTGCTGATACAAAAATTGCTTTACAAAATCAGCTAAACCTGACCTCAAGACCTGGGATCTAATCTCTCTGAAAGGAAACTCAACTCTAGGGTAAGTGCATGGCTTCTAGCAACTGCATTATATGTAAATCTCTAGATTAGATCGCTGTTTTTTGGAGCTTTCACTACTATGCACATTGACCCAATGGGAGCTCTTTGTATCCATTCTCACAAGCACAGTGGTAGGGTGAGTTGTGGCTGAGAATGGCTGCTTTGGTGTACTCACAGGTCGAATCTGAACTCCACCACTTAGTGGTCATGTGACCTTGGGCAAGTCACTTCTCTAAACCTGTTTCTCATCTGTAAAGTATATAGGCTATGCTTCCTAGTTCCTCGTACCTTGGTTGCTGGCACATCCCCAGTGAGGAATCAAATCTGGGGTCCTTCAATCCGCAGGCCGAAGCTCTATCCACGATTCAAACCAGTGAGGGCCCAAAGCACTATTTGACAAATGAGTCTAAACACTTTAGAAATACTAAAAGGCTATCCAGGTATTAAGTTTACAATTCCTTGCCCTCCTCTATTCATTCAGTGCAGCCAGCATAGATGTATTTCCTTGTTCCATAAAAACCTTGGACCAGGACTAGAGAACTGAGCACAACTAATGTAGCCTTCAGGTGAATTGAGTGGTGCCACAGATGGGAGGTGTGAGGTTTTCCCTGGAATCTATGTTTCCTCTCTAAGCTACTTGGAAGAGCCTGTGAGTTCCCCAATATAGGCAGACCTTGTTTTAATGTGCTTCCTTCATTGTGCCTCCCTGGCATTGCATTTAAAAAAAAAATTTTTTTTTTTAACAAATTGAAGGCAGGATGCTCCACCAGCACAGCAGTGACTCCCTTTGTGTGGTGGTCTGAAACCAAGCCCACAATATCTCAGGCATGCCTATAGTAGAGACCTTACTTCATTTTATTTTCTCCACCCCCACAAAATGAATAGAGTTGATTGGCAGAAGATCCAGAAAACATACTGCTTTTACACTTATTGTTCGAGACCAGGATATTGAGCTGAAACCGGTTTGGCTCAGTGGTAGAGCGTCGGTCTGTGGACTGAAAGGTCCCGGGTTCGATTCCGGTCAAGGGCATGTACCTTGGTTGCGGGTGCATCCCCGGTGGGGGGTGTGCAAGGGGCGGCTGGTCGATGTTTCTCTCTCATCGACGTTTCTGGCTCTCTATCTCTTTCCCTTCCTCTCTGTAAAAAATCAATAAAATATATTTAAAAAAAAAAAAAAGAGAGAGAGAGAGAGAGAGAAAGACCAGGATATTGAGCCCTTTGTCTAAGAAAATTCCCCCAAACCCCTTTTTTATTACAGGCAGTTCAATAAAATAAAATAAAAAAGAAAAAGGTTCAGTCTGTGTTAAGTGCACTAAAATGACCAGATAGGTTTTCACCAAATTTGGAAAGCATGTTGGGGATGGTTTTCCTTAAAGCAAAACTATGTGCACATATGAAATTAACCTCTCAGGGCCCTGGAGATGTGTCAGGAATTAGGTCATTGTCTTTAAAGCTGCCCAAAGTGATAAAGTGAGCCCTGTGTGTCTTGCCTACAAGAGAAAGATGCCCTACATATCAAAGGCAATGGGCAGAGATAACAAACTGGTTTCAAATCTAGGAACTAAATCAAAGACTCGAGTGAATTTCAGGAGAAGAGTCTTTTCTGTCCTCAGGTTCAAGATCTTGAGCCGAGAGTTCAGGTAGAAGACACTAGTTAGTTTGTTCTTTATTTTCATTGGAAAGTTACAGGGTTACTTATCAACAAAATGACTGTCCAGGACAAAAATATCCAGTGGTTTCTATGTACAGGAGCATCTTGGGGTCCCCACCTCCTGCAGGGACTCATCCCAAAGGCCTCAGGTGGCTCCTTCCCAGTCCTCTAGGAGCCAATCATAGAGACACAGGGGACAAAAACCAGCCTGACCTCAGGACTTGCTTTCACCCCAAAGGGAGGTGGCGTCTGCTGGTGTGGGACCCAGGCCTTGGGATAGTGGATGGCAGGTTTTCTTTCCCAGGAGCCCAGCCTTCTGGGCACCCCTTCCCACCACCTGCCCCAGGCACTCTCTTGGACATTCCTGGGACTATTCTGACAGGCTCATGGGTTCCCACTCTGGTCTTTTCTCTTTCAAATAGTCATTCTAACACTAGGGCATCCGAGCCTCGCATCCTGGTGGGCAAGCATTTGCTCTGTTGCTTTTCTTTTGTTCCTGTTTTTGTACAAAAATTACAATATTCTTGATGGGACCATTTTTTGCCCAAGAAAACCAAAGTGGTTCAACAGGTACAGTTCTGCTGGTCGATCTGCTTCCGGCAGGGCTCCATGGTGACAGCGACACCCACACCGCTCCGGCCAGATGTCATGCAGGTAACCTCGCTCCAGGTGTCCGTGTCGGGGTCATAACACTCCACGCTGTCCAGGAATGTGTGGCCGTCGTAGCCCCCTGAGGAAGAGCAGAGGAGATGGTCATTGCTTCCAACGGCAAGGGAAAGAAAGAAGAAACCACAAGAAGCCTTCCTATGTGACCTGAGCCAGCCCCCCAAAGACGAGGCTCATTCATTCGTCTTCTCTACCCAGATCCCATCCCCTGGGCCTCACCGAGAACATAGATTCTCCCCTGGTGCACAGTGATCCCCAGGGCACTTCGCCGATGCTTCATGGGAGCCACGAAAGTCCACGTTTCTGTCTCCACGTTGTAGCACTCCACACTGTTCAGCTGGTCCTGACCATCATAGCCCCCAGCAGCATAAATACAGTTGTGCAGGACACAGACTCCTAAACCACAACACAAAGAGAGGGTGACTCCAGGGCCTGGCCTGGGGGGCCCCAGCCACCACCACCTTGGGAGGCCCTTCCCTCCTCCCTCTCCCAAAGGACCCTTCCGAAACTAAGCCAGGAAAGAGGAACTTGGATTCTGTCAGAATCTAGCTCTCCTGTGTGTGCCACAGGGTTATTCAAATGGAAACAACGAGCTTCACTCAGGCCTGGCCAAGTTTCACTCCGGCGGCTGGGAAGGTGATCCTCCATGGTCCCCTCCCCTCACCTCCCACCCACCTGCCCCACTTCGGATGGTATTCATGGGTGTGATCATTCGCCACTCATCTCTCTCTGGATAGTAACATTCGGCTGAGTTGAGGCGGTTCGTCCCGTCAAAGCCCCCAACGGCATAGAGCAGCCGGTTGAGAACAGCTACTCCCACCCCAATTCTTCGAGACAGCATTGGGGCCACCAAGTGCCACTCATCACGCTCCGGCTCATACCTGCAAGGGCACAATAACAAAGACAGCAGCAGTCATAGCTGTCCTCCAAGGAACACTTCCTAAAGCCCAATGTTCTGCTAGGTCTAGCTCTTTAATCCTCACGATTATTCTCCAAGGTGCAAGTTACCAGTAGCTCCATTTTCCAGATAAGGAAACTGAGGTTCATAGCTGTCATGTGGTCATTTACACACACACACACACACACACACACACACACACACACACACACCTGCTGGACCCTGGTGGCTTCATCATCCCACTTCCAAGCCCTGTGCTGAGTCTTACATGTGCTGTCTCACCAATGCCCCAGCCTAGTGGGCAAGGGGGTCCTCATTATTGTCTCCTCTCTTCAAAGATGATAAGATGGAGGCACTAAGGGGTAAGTGGTACCTCAGGGACATAAAAAAAAAAAAGTGGAGCTGGGGTCTGACCCAGCCCTCTCGGACACCAGAACCCCAATTCTAACAACTAGGCTACCTCCCAGGATGTTTTTTCTTAACGTGTGATCTCAGAGAGGGGCCTAGGCAACTCCAGTTCATGCCTGTGCTCCTGGAATAACTAATAGTGTCCGGTTTTCCCCCCTCCAAAGAAATAGCCTATTAAGGGTGATGCATCATCCCATCATCCTAGTTGCACACCATAGGCATTAGAAACCTGAGGTATTTGTTTAAAATTTCCACTCCCCAGCCTTGCTCCAAACCCACCCACTAATGTCAGACCTCCACAGCTCCAACAGCAGGCTGGGAAGTTCAACAAGTTCTCCAAGTGAGAACTATATCCTGGATCACACTTCAGGAAGAAGAGAAGGTGGAGGACTAAACTATGTAAAAGTCAAAAGTCCAGTTTGTTTGGCCTCGAAACATAGAGTCACTATGCACAGCAGTGCAGGCTGTGCACTGCACAAGGGCACCACATCTAAGAGGGCACTTCCCACATACCAGACCGCAGACATCTATTACAACAGTTTTGGGGCTGACAACAGTGAGGGGTTACATTTTAACAAAATTAGCATATTACATCAATTTCAAACTGATGGAACTTTTCCACATCTGCACAAAGGAGCTGTATGGTTTTGTGATGGTCCAGACACACCATCCAAGATCACTACTGTCAACCTCCCACGAGTTTAGCTTTCATTTGAGGTTTCTACTACCTGAAAGCAGGCTGTAGAGATAAGCACTCAACAATAGGAGGAATCTCCAAATGCCAATGGCTCGGAACCTGTTATCTAGATAACCCTCTGAGCCCACCCCTTCTGGCCCTGCTACTCACCTCTCCACACTGTTGTGGTGGATGCATCCATGGGAGCCACCAACGGCATAGATGTGCCCATCGATGACCCCTACCCCAATCCGGTTGCGTGGGACACTCATGGGGGCACAAGGTGACCACTGGTTGGTCATGGGGTTGTAGCAGTCCAGGGCGTTGGAGTCGGTGTTTCCATCAGGCGAGTTGTTCCGGCCGCCCACGGCATACAGCAGCCCTCCCACCACGCAGCCTGCCAGGCCACTCCGAGGCACCTGCAGGTCTGCCAACCGGAGCCATGTGCCATCGGTGGGGTTGTAGGCCTCCAGGTAGCTGAGTGACTGGCGGAAATAGCCACCAGCAGTGTAGATGAGCCGGCCCACCTTGGGCGCCCGGCAGGGCATCACCTGTGTGGGCTTGTGCAGGGTGAGCTCCTGGAAGATCTTGACCAGGTAGTCCTTGCAGCTGGAGTCTGACTGCAAGATCTCACACTTCTGCAGCTGCATCTGCAGGAAGTGGGGCGTCAGCGAGTGGCAGCGCACGGCCCGCAGCAGCGCCTGCACATAGAAGCGTCGGTGCTCACAGTCGTACTTGACCCAGTTGATACAGGCATGGAAGACCTCAGACTCGCAGCGCACATTCAGATCATCCCGGCTGATGAGGGTCACCAGTTGGCAGTGGGACAGGTTGAAGAACTCCTCTTGCTTGGCCACCTGCAAGGGTGTTAGTGTGACAGGCTGACTCCTGTGTCTCCCCTCAATGCCCAAACTGGAGTGTGACCTCGGACAAGTGACTCAACCTGCCTCTGACAATCTCAGTGTCCTCATCTGTAAAGTGGGAATGTGAATAGTATGAACTCATTGGTTGTGAGGACTAAATGAGTTAATGAGGCATGTAGTACATAAGTACTGAGGTAAACAATGTATGTGTATCTTTTTCTATCATTTTTTTGTTTGAACTATAAGAACATTACCTTTAAAAAATTTTTTTTTATTGGTTGATTTTTAGAGAGAGAGGAAGACATTGATTTGTTGCTTGGTTTATCTATGCATTAATTCACTGATTGGTTCTTGTATGTGCCCTGACAGGGATCAAACCCACAACCTTGGCATATGTGGACAATGCTCTAACCAACTGAGCTACCTGGCTAGAGCCACCTTTTTTTTTTTTTTTTTTTTTTAATGATATTACTTTTTCAAAAAGGCATATTTACTAAAAAGGAAAAAATAGCCCTAGCCAGTTTGACTCAGTGGATAAAGCGTTGGCCTGCAGACTGAAAGGTCCCAGGTTCAATTCCAGTCAAGGGCACGTGCCCAGGTTTAGGGCTCGATCCTCAGTAGGGGGCATGCAGGAAGCAGCCAATCAATGATTCTCTCATCATTGATGTTTTCAGCGCTCTCTCTTCTCCCTTTCGTTTGAAATCAATAAAAATATTTTTAAAGGAAAAAATAATAGCAATAGAATATTCTAGGGGGAAAAAAAAGTGCAGGCTCTGAAGAAAGCAACCTGAATTGTAATTCTGGCTCCCTACTTTCTAACTGGATGACTTTGGGCAAATATCTGAAACATTCCATGTCTACGTTATTCTCCTCTATAAAGGGGATTATATCAGTAGCTCATAATGGGGCTGCTCCTAGGACATCACGGCCCTGGGCAAATCCTTCCTGTCAGGCACTGGTCAATAAAAATAAGACCCCACATCAGCAGGTTACCACTGTTCAGGTGCTCCTTCAACAAACACCGTGCAGGGCAGGGGAAAGCCTCTTCACAGACTGCCTTTCTGGAAGCTGTGAGTCCTAGGCCTAATGCCAAATCCTTGGGACAACAGGTCAACCCCACAGTGTATAGGAAAGAAGAGAAATGGTGACCAGAGTAGTGTCTACCCCAGCTGGTCCCAGCCACTGAAGGAGGATTTTGAATACTTTTTAGAAAAGCCCTCCAAAGCATACTTCCTCTTGGGATAGTTAAGAAGAAGATTCAGTGATTTAAAGGATGGAAATCACTTAGAACAGAGGCTGGCCCACAGCAAAGACTCAAGCATTTACTATTTCTGCTTTCACAACTTCCTCCACTTAAAAATGAAAACGAAACCAAGAACATGGGATGACACTACGTGGACCAAAGAAAACATGTCTAAGGGTCACATTTGCAGTCAGCAGCATGTCATGGGTCTTCAATAAATATTTGCTGACTGCCTGAAATGTCGCACCCTGCTCTGCACACACCAGGGTTGAGCTGCTGTCATGTTTGCTGTACCCTATCCCCACTCTGGACCCAAGAAACCAGGGAGCCCAGATACCCATGAAGGTCTCACTGGCCTCAGCTGTTTCCCAGAGTGGCCCTAGATGTGTAGACTAGAAGCTCAGAGCTCCACTCTTCTCCAGCTGCTTGTCTTCACCCTTCATATCTCAAGGGAGAGAGTGATTGACCACCCCTGGTCCCTGGTCCTTCTGATACCACCCCAAGCCTTGCTCCATGTCCCGTCCCCTCACTCACCTCCCCGAAGTGCATGTAGATGTACTCTCGGGCACGCTGGTGAAGCTCAGCACAGCCTATCTGCTCAGCGAAGTTGGCGATGCCAATGGCATTGCTGGGGTCCAGCTGCTGCACCAGAAAGTCACTGCAGGCACGGACAACACTGTCGATCTGGTACATGACGGCACCGTTCATGACATGGAGCACGCACTTCTCACCCATGGAGATAGAGGCTGTATAGGCAAACTCGATGAGGCGCTCCATAACCTTGGGATGGATGCCCTCGATGGACACCACCTCCATACCCTGCTCCCGCAGCCCATTGGTGAACATGGCCTTGAAGACAGGGCTGGAGGAGGCCAGAACCACCTTGTGGGCCATGAACTGTGCAGCCGGTGCATCCTGGTACTTGACCTGAAGTGTGACATCGCACAGCTGCTGGCTGAGCCGCAGCTCGTTCATGATTCCGAAGGCCTGCTTGGTGTGGTCCTCCAGTGTGTAGCTGAAAGTGCGGTTGCCATGCTGGGAGGGTGTCACCTCAGCCTTGCACTCGGTGGAGGCGTACATCACTGTGTCCCCTGGACCCTCAGGGCGCTGCGACCTCAGGGGCAGAAACCGGGTGTGGACCCCAGCCCCGCTAGGCCTGGGATCCGGCTGCATGGGGTTCCAGGTGACAAGGGACAACACCACCACTGACACTCAGGGGCCTGGAGGAGGGAGAGCACAGGGCTGGGGGCAGGGCCTGGGGCCAGGCCTCCTTTTTAAAAACAAAGTGATTCCTAGACCAGTTTTCCTTGACAAGCCCAGGTGTAGCAGCATCCATTTGTTCTTGCTAAATGTCCCATAGCCTCAGCAGCCCACAGGTCCGTCTTAAAACATGTCAGATGATGTCCCTCCCCTGCTCAGAACCCCCCCACAGCTCCCTAGAGCATGAGTAAAACCAAATGGCCTGCAAAGCCCTCTAGAGTCAGCCCCTGTCCTCTTTCCTTTGCTCACTCTGTTCCTGACCCTTCCCTTCCTAGATCATGTCCAGCTCACTGTTTCATTCATTGCACCAACATTTATTGAGCAGCTACTGTGTGTCAGGCACTGTTCTAGGCACTGAGGACATAGCAGTGACAAAGACAGACATAAACTGTGCTGGAGTTGACACACCTGGGGAGGTAATAAATACAATAAACAAGACTTGAGTAGAAACTGAACTCATGAAGGAAATGAAAACAGCATTGACAGTGTGACCTGAGGGCAGTTACTTTAGATTGGTGGTCCAGGCCTCTGTTAGAGCTGAGACAAAAAGAGTGAATATATGAAAGCAGGTGGGGAAAAAGGGGAGTTAGTTTCTCAGGTGAGGGAACAGCAAAGCAAAGGCTCAAAGGCAGAATGAGAGAGACAACCTGGAGAACCAGGGAAGAATGTCATGACAGATAAAGGAGTGTTTTCTGGACTCTGGAAAGCCAGGGCATGAGTTGTGCTTTGAAAGGTCCTGCTTGAGAGACCTGCAAGAGGCTCCCCGGAGTTCTCCATCTTATCTTTCTGCGGCTCAGCTCAGATTCACCTCCTGTTTTTATTTCCATTACCGCCTTGTCAAGAGCTGAAACGAGCTGCTTGGCTTGCAGAAGGTGGCCCTCGCTCTGACCCTCAGCCCCAGCGCTTCAGAAGGCAGGGAGCCCTGTGTAGGTCAGGGTTACACCACCTTCTCCTGTGCCTCCCCCGCGTCCAGCTGGAACGTGACAAGGCGCAGGGGTCAGCAAGCTGAGGCTGGCCGGCTGCCCACTCCACTGTGACTGCGGGGCCACCTCCTCCATGCTTCCGTTCCCACTGGGCCCAGGGCGCCGCCGGGCACTGCTCCCCGGCCAAGGCCCCTGGCCTGTCTCTCGGTCCGTGGCCCATCGGTCCACGGTGCCCCCGGGCCTTGGGCCCTCACAAACGCGGGGGGGGCTGGGGGCTAGGGGCCGGACGGAACTGCGCATGCCCCGCAGGAGCCGCCACCGGAGCCGGGAGAAAGGAGGAAGTGACCCCATCGCGGCCTCGCGACTGCCTACCCCCGGGCGCAGATCAAGCCCCCCAATGCCCCGGGGTCCCCGCGCCTCGGTCGGAGCGTCTCTCCCGGGCAACCCCGCGAGCGGCGCCGTCGAACCAAAGGAGAGGACTCGAGCCGCGCCCTCCTAGCCCGCCGCCGGGCCGCGGGGACCCCGAGCGCCCGGGCCAGCGGGGCCGCGCCTCCCGGCCCCCCGCACGGCCGCAGAGGCGCTCCCGGCCCGCCGCGCCCGCCGCCCCGGCGCAGGCCGCTCACTCACCCCGCCATGGCCGCGCTCGGGCTCCGCCTCCGTCGCCCAGGCCCGGGCGCCTCCATCGCAGCGCGGGGGGAGGCGGCGCGCGGTCACCGTGACTAAGCAGAGCGGGCGGCGGCCGTGTCAGAATAAAAGTCCCCGCTGCCGGGCCGCCTCCTCTTCCCCTCTCCTCCCCTCCCCTCCCCTCCCCTCCCCTTTCCTCCCCATCCCACCCCACCCCCGCCCGCCGCCGCCGCCGCCGCGGCCGAGCTGCACGTCCCCGGGCGGCGGCCCCGCGCATGGCCATCCCCGCGGCCGGCGGCGGGCGAGGGGCCGCAGCCCTCGGCGCACCACGCCGGGCGGTCAGCGCCGCGGGGACAGGAGTTGCCGGCTCGAGGCCAGGCGAGCCCCGCCGGCACCCGGACACCCTCCCCGTGGCCGCTGCGGGCGCCTCACCTCGGCCCCCGCGAGGCCTCTAGCGCTCGCCGCGGGCGGGGATGCCCGGCACGTGGCGGCGGCTCCGGGCGCGGCGATGGCACCCGAGCTCCGAGGGGTGGCGGCTCCCACCCACCCTTCACCGTCGGGGCCCAGGAACCCGTCCGCTGTCGGGGACCTCGGCTCCGGGTCTGCGGGGCCGCGGCCGTCGGGTTGGGGCAGGACTGAGGACGCCCGGGAGGGAGGCGGGGAGAGGGCGCGGCAGGGAAGGAGCGGAGATCCCCGCCCTCCCCTCAGGTGCCTGGGGCGCCGGGACAGGCGCGGGCATCGGCCCGGCGCGGGTCCCCGTTACCCCTTCACACCTCTCCTTCCTCGCCCCGCTTCGTCGTCTGAGCGCGGAGCTGCTTTCCAACACCGGCCCTTCTCCCTGTAACTTAGGCCCGGCGGCTGCAGGATCCAGCTACAAACAGCTAGCCAGCAGGGGTTTCCTTGTCTCTGTGTTTTAGTTACCTCCAGCGCCCGCGGGGGTTCGAGCCCCCCCTACCCCCCCTCCCGCTCTGCCGCCCCCTGGCTCCGTGCGGCGGGAAGGTAACTGATTGCCCATGCTTCCGTTTCCTCCCTGTGAAATGATAGGCCCACCTGATGTTAACTACCCTGTTTTCCCGAAAATAAGACAGTGTCCTATATTAATTTTTTTTCTCCCAAAGTTGCGCGAGGTCTTATTTTCAAGGGATGTCTTATCTTTCCATGCGCTAGGTCTTATTTTCGGAGGATGTCTTATTTTCTGGAAAACACGGTATTGCTATTTTTTCATGCTGTTTATATAAAATTAAATTTTAAGTAAGTGGATTTAAGGGTTTTAAATTTTTATTTACTTTTTAAAATATTTTTATTGAGTTCAAATAGGACGGGAGAGGGAAAGAGAGAGAAATGTCAATGATGAGAATCATTGATGGGCTGCCTCTAGCACATCACCCATTGGGGACTGAGCCCGGAACCCGGGCATGTGCCCTGACCGGGAATCTAATGGGTGACGTCCTGGTTCATAGGTCGATGATCAACTAGTGAGCCACTCCAGCTGAGCGATTTAAGTTTTTTGAAACATAAAACTAAGTGGCTGGTTTGGCTCAGTGGATAGAGCATTGGCCTGACTGCGGACTGAAGGGTCCCAGGTTCAATTCCTGGTCAGGGCACATGCCTAGGTGGGCTAGGTCCCCAGTAGGGGGCATGCAGAAGGCAGCTGATCGCCAAGACCGGTTTGGCTCAGTGGATAGAGCGTCAGCCTGCGGACTGAAAGGTCCCGGGTTCGATTCCAGTCAAGGACATGTACCTTGGTTGCGGGCACATCCCCAGTGCAGGAGGCAGTGGTCAATGTTTCTCTCTCATCGATGTTTCTAACTCTATCCCTCTCCCTCTCTCTGTAAAAAATCAATAATATATATATATATATATATATTTTTTTTTTTTTTTTAAGAACAAGTGCTATGAATGGAATTGATTAGGCTTAAATTAGGTCATGGGGAGGAGGCTCCCATGAGGGGATTAGTGTAAGGTGACCAGACGTCCCGCTTTTGGCGGGACAGTCCTGATTTTTAACAATTTGTCCCACGTCCCTGTGTTTTAAAAAAAAGTCCCAATTCTTTCCATTTTTAAAACGCCGTGGGACGCAGGACAAATTGTTAAAAATCGGGACGTCTGGTCACCTTAGATTAGTGCCCTTATAAAAAGGGATACCAGAAAGCTGGAATTCTCTACACCATGAGAGCACACAGCCAGAAGGCAGCTCTCTGCTGGCCCGGAAGAGAGTCCTCACCAGCACCCAACCACACGGGCACCCACCCTTCTCTTGGACTTCCAGCCTCCAACTGTGAGAAATAAATGTCTATTGTCTCAAGCCACCCTGGCTGCAGTGTTTGTTATGGCAGCCTGAGTGCACTAAGGCAGCCAGACAGAACAAAATCTGTAGATGGGCAACAATTTCCAAGATCTACTATTAAGTGAACAAAACAAGATGCAGAGCAGTGCTAAAATTGTGTAAAAAGAGAAGCTGTATTTACATTTCAGCTCATTTATTCACAGATAGCTCCGGAAGTTTCCCAGGAACCCCTGCAGTGATCATGGCCAACGAGGTAACTAGTACTTTTTGAATTTTGTAAAATGTGAACAAGCAAATAAGTCTGCATTCACATCATTAAACAATGGGACAATGGGGTGAGCTTCAGGCTCCCCTGGAAAACTGAAGGAGCCTGGAGTGAGGGGTGTTAGGTTGTGTTGGGAATTGGGTCCAGTCCTGAGACCGTGACCCCAGGCTTGAGTGTTTGTGTTCCAAGAAATAAGTTCGTTTCCTGTGTCTGTGATCTGTTGGGAGAGCCTGAGCATGGCCCGCAGAGAAGCAAGTACCCTAGGCTGGGTCAGTGCCCCCAAAACACTTTGCAGCTGCCTGCAGTTCCGCTGTCTCCCGACAGGAGGCGTGTGGCAGTCTGAGCCCCAAGTTCCCCCGCTAGTTCGGCCCCACCTCACAGGAGTCAGGAATGCGCCTGGGGACAGCCAGGGACCTTGGCCAGCAGTCTGGAGCCTTTTCTGGGCACAAACAGAGCCTTTTATGGGCTCTGGAATTGCCCCCCATTCCAGAGGATCCAGAAACTCAGCCTGCACCTCTGCAGGCCTAGGTGCCAGGCAGCTTGGGTGAGTGCAAGGCACTCACTGCTTAGAGTTCCCTCACCTATAAAACTCGGGTGGGGAAACTCACCTTGCAAGGTTGCAGAAAGTGTATGTGACTAAATGGTGTGTCCTGGGCCTCCCACTGCGGAGTGACCAACCAGGCACAATAAGTTGTAACTGGTCTCCTCACTTTATTACATTTTTATGAAGGGCCTGACACACGCTCACACCTTGTTCCAGTTAGGAATTGGCTGAGTCTCCCAGAGTCAAATGGTAGGGTGCCCTGTCTTTGGTGCTCTCGCCTCTAAACTGGAGCACTGTCCTTGACTCCCGTCTCACTCCCGCACTCACTTCCTCAGTAATCCTGTCCGCTGTTTCCAAAATCTACCCAGAACCCACACGGCCCGAGTCTCCGTCGTCACCCTCCTTGGCCAGCGCAGCCACCACCTTGTTCTTCCAGCTACCACCTGTGCCTCGCCCAGAGATCTGTGAACACTGGGACCAAGTCAAGGCCTTCCCTTATCTAGAACCCTCCATGGCTCCCACTTCACTCAGAGCAGAAGGACCGTCCGCCCCTGAGCCCACAGACTCTGAGTGATCTGGCCAGTGGTCTCCCTGCCTTTATCTTCTCCCCTCTCCCCTCCACCACAGCCCCAGGCACACCTGGGTCCCTGCTTGTCCTGGAACCCAGACACACCGCAGCCTCGGGGCCTCGGCACCTGCTGTTCCCTCGCAGGAAATGCTCTTGCTCCTGTGTTTCAGGACAGTCGCGTCTCAGTTCGCATCACGTGTCACCGCCTCTGCAGAGAGGCCTCCTCTGACACCATCACACCACTGTATTGTCACTGGAACCATCTCCATGATTTCTTCACTCCATTGTCTCCTGTGTCCCACCAGAACGGCAATCCCACAAAGACAGTGATTTTTGTCAGTCTTGTTCACTGTTGTGGGGTTTAGCACCAGCCAGTAAAATACCTTTCCCTGGTCTTCTTTCTGCACCATCTTCGGCTGGTTTTCCTATAGAATCCGTTATTTAAAAAAGAAAAAAAATCTGCAAACAGCTCTTGGGAAGGGCAATGGCGGGTGAGAGGGGGTCATTCTGCGGCTGGTGCAGGTACCAGGGTCCCCGGGGCTGTGAGTGCGCCGGTGGAGAGGCTTATGTCCAGCCCGTCCCGCTGGGGCAACGAGCGCTCCGAGCGGCTGGAGCTGCCGTCCAGGCTGGGGGGCAGCCAGTGGTGCAGGCCGTCTGAAGCCCCAGCGGCGCTCGCGGAGCGCTGGGAGGCTCCCGAGCTCCGGCCCCGGGGGCGCCGGCCGCAGCAGACGAGGCGCAGGAGCCCGTGGCGCAGGTCGCGGTTGGTGAGCGTGTAGATGATGGGGTTCAGAAGGGAGTTGGCCATGGCCAGGCCCAGGAAGGGGTCGGCCTGCAGGAGCACGGGGCAGGCGCGCGCCGGGCACGCCACGTCCAGCAGGAGCAGCAGGAAGAGGGGGCCCCAGCACGCCACGAAGGCCAGGAGCACGATGCTGAGTGTGCGCAGCAGCGCCAGGGTGCGCGGCGCGCGGCGCGCCCGCCTGGAGGAGCCGCCGGCAGCTCGCAGGCGCTGCGCGTTGGCGCGCACCTGGCAGTAGATGCGTGCGTAGAGCGCACAGATGGCAGCCAGGATGCCCAGGAAGGCGAGCACGCAGAAGAGCACGTAGGCTTTGGCGTAGAGCGGCAGGACGGTGGAGCAGGCGTCCAGGCGGCCCAGGCAGTTCCAGCCCATCGCCGGCAGCAGCCCGAGGATCAGCGACAGGCCCCAGGCGGCGGCCGCCAGCGCCAGCGTGCGCCCCCTCCGGGCCGCGGGCGCGGGCCCCCGGCGCGCCATGGTGAGGCTGCGCTCCAGCGCGATGGCCAGGAGGCTGAGCACCGAGGCGGCCAGCGCCACGAAGACGCCGCCCTCCCTGGCGAACCAGAGCGCGGGCGACAGGCGCAGCGTGAGCGGCCCGGACAGCAGGATGTTGGCGGCATAGGCAGCGCCCGACAGCAGGTCAGACAACGTGAGGCTGCCCAGGAGCAGGAACATGGGCGCGTGGAAGCGCGGGTGGCGCCCGAGCACGAAGAGCACCGCCAGGTTCTCCAGCACGATGAGCGCGCACACGGCCAGGCACACGGCGGCGTCGGCGCGCAGCCCCGCGCCCGGCTGGTAGCGCGCGCCCCGGAGCTTGCCGGTGTAGTTGTAGTGCAGGACGATGAGCTCGCTCACCGGCGCGGGCCGCAGCAGCCCCGGCTCCATGGGCCACCGCCCCGAGGCTGCGAAGGGAGAGGCGGCGCAGGGTCAGGCTGGGCGCGAACCGTCCTCGCTGCCTGTGCCGCCGGGCACGGGCCTCGCAGGACTGGGAAAGGGGCCCTAACTCCCTCCCTTCCACCTCCCAGGAACACTGGGGAGCAGGGGGAGTTCCGGATGGAAGGGGGATGGCCATGGTGACAGGCCGACCCAGAAATAATAATAGGGAACAGGGTGACACAGCCCCACCGGTCCTGAGGATTACAGTCATAACTCACACGTCATCGGGGTAACCAGAGGCACAGTCAATCATACACAGAATGGCCCTAACCGGTTTGGCTCAGTGGATAGAGAGGTTTGGCTCAGTAGATAGAGCGTAGGCCTGCGGACTGAGGGGTCCCAAGTTCGATTCCCATCAAGGGCACGTGCCTTGGTTGTGGGCACATCCCCAGTAGGGGGCGTGCAGGAGGCAACTGATCCATGTTTCTCTCTCATCGGTGTTTCTAACTCTCTATCCCTCTCCCTTCCTCTCTGTAAAAAATCAGTAAAATATATATTTTTTAAAAAACAGACAGAATGCACATAAATATAGTCACACATAGAAAAGGACACACAAGCAGTGACACTCTGACAAGAATATATACACAGGCACAAACTAGGGCAAAAATGGTCAGAGCCCATCAGAAAGACACAAAAATGCCTTCACCCAGCGATAAAGCAGCACAGGCAGACACACACAGCAACACCGACAGCAGCTTGCAGACAGGGTCTCACATCCAGTCACACAGGCCACAATTTCACAACCTCCACCCATGCTCAGCCTGGAGCCCTGAGCTCTGCCGTCTACACCCAGGGCTTTTTCCTGCCCTTCCACCCGCCGCAGGCACCCATGAGAACGCTGGCCCTATGGGCCCCTTCCCCAGGGACAGGGCCGGAGGGCAGTGGGCAGGCCCAGGTGTCATTGAAGCACGCTAATGATCCCCTGGCCACGGTGCCCTCCCGTCCCCTGGACAGCCCTCACCATCGCCCCATTTATAGACGAGACACCGAGGCTGAAAGGAAGTGCCTCGCAGAGAAACAGACACACTGGTGTTCATGCTCACACACACACACACACACAGCCACATGGACACAGTGACCCAAGCACCCAGCTCCCATTTAACAGATGAGAAAACTAAGGCCTGGGGAGGGGAACCGACTTATTTGGACCTGGCTGGATGGAATGCCTGTCAGACGGCTTCAGTCAGTCGTGCCCTGGGAGGCAGGCACAGACACAGACCCACGGGGAGTCTGGGGCTCAGTCACGCCTCGGGGCAGGGGCATCCAATACACGCAGACACGGGATGCCCTTTCTCTGATGGGGACGCTGCAAACAGCCTCCCAGCCCCTGCCCCTCCCGCCTGGCCTCGGTAGGGAAACTTGCAGAGGAGTGGCCAGAGAGGGCAAGGCCTGTGGATTGCAGGCGCCCCCTTCCTCCCCGTCCAGTCCTCCCAGCCCGTGCCAGCATCCACACAACCACACCGGCAACGTCGCTGGCTTTCTCGCCTCCGGGAGAGGCCCGGGAACTCCCAGGAAGGGGGCTCGGGGAGCGGCCAGGGCAGCCTCTCGGGGCCAGACCAACCCCGCGCGCCCCAAGGACCCCGCGCCGCGCACTCACCCCGCGCCTGGTCCGCGCGCCCCCCGCAGACGCGCAGCCCGGAGCCCAGAGTTGGGTGCCGCTCGTGGGGGCGGGACTGAAGATGGCTGGCGGAAAGGGGTGGGGGTGGGGGTGCGGGGGGAGACTGGCCCTCGACGCCGAGCTAAGGCGGTCGCCAGCAATGGCCCCGCCCCTTGGGCTGCCAGCCTGTGCCATCCGCTGCAGCATCAGAGCGCGCCCCGGCGGGCGGCGACTGGCACCGGCGAGCCCTCGGCTGCCCCTTCCGGACCCGGGACGCTCGGGACGCTCCGTCGCGGTGGGAGGACCTGGAGACCCTGGAAGGGGGAGGGTTCCCAGCGGGGCGGCTGCAGCCTGAGCCTCTTCACACACACACACACACACACACACACACACACACACACACACACACACCCTCGTCCTCAGTCACCGCAGCAGAGGGGTCTCGTCTGTGGTTGGGCTCCTGGGCACCGGTCCCTCCCCGTTTCCCGCTTACCTTCCCACTGACCCTCTAGCCCTGCACCCAAGAACGCCGGGTCGGGAGAGGGCGACGTGGGTTAGGGAGGGTCTCCCTCGGGGCGGCAGTAGCCCGAGTCCCCTTCCCGGCAGACGGGGCCGCAGCTCCCAGTGTCCTCGCCCCACCGCGGGCTTGGGCGACAGAGGGAGGGCGGCGCGGGAAGGATTCTTGTGGGAACATCCGGCCCCTCACCCCTAAAGGGAGGATGTGGATCGCGCGCCCCCCTGGCTAGTCCATTGCCTCGCCCTTACTGTTCCTAAGTATGGGACTTACTCATCTGGGGTTCGTCCGGGCTGAGTCCCCACCGAGCTGCCAGCCCTTCGCGGGCAGGGATTTGAGTCTGTGGTGGGCACTGCGGGGACAAAGCCGGTGTCCAATAAGGACCCCCCACCAACACCAGTGAGAGAGAAAATGAATGAGTATCTTGCACACTTTCTCTGTGTGTCTTTCTCGCTGCTTCTCTCCCCGTTTCCAACCGTGTGTGTGTGTGTGTGTGTGTGTGTGTGTGTGTGTGCCTCTTTCCCACGCCTCTTCCAGGCTTCCGCTCCTCCAGCGGCCAGTCCCAGCTGGCCCTGCACCCCCCACCCCCAGTTCCAAGGAGCTCCCTCACCCTCAGACCAGAGGCCATAGCCGGAAGGGAGGCTGGGCCTGGCGGCCCCAGGACTGTGCCCTTTGCCTCGGCCGCTGCAGCCTCTGCCGACCTCAGGGTCGGTGAACGGGAGGCTGAGAATGGGGTGGATCTTAGACAGCCCGCGGAAGGGAGGGAGAGGGACACCCAGGCCAGGTCGCGACCCCAGGTAGCCACTGGCAGAATCCCGCGGCTCCTGCCTGCGCCGATAGGGGGTGGGGGTAACTCTGTGCACAGCAGTGCCTAGCCCGCCGACCACGCCGGCTCCAAGGGGCCTGGGAGAACCCCAAACGCAGCAGAAGCAGCGGGCGCTCCGTGCACCTCTCTGCTAGGCGAAGCGGCAGCCCGGTGGGAGGTGGCTGCTTCACACCTCCCATGGCGCGCCCGCAGCGCAGGGAGGCTCTTCCTGCTGAGGCAGGTCTGCCTGTGGAGGCCCAGCACCTCCCGCCTGCTCCAGGCACCCCTTTCCCGGGGACCCCAGGGCATCGGGCTCTGAAGTCTGGGCCAGACGTCAGGAACCTCCAGGAGGACTCTGCCTCCATCCCTGCACCCTGTTCCCTACCGGCAGCCAACAGTGCTGAAGACTCAGATCACACCCCTTCCCTGCTCCCCAGCTCCCCAGCTCCCCCTGTTGCTTTGAGGACACACCCAAGCCCCCACCAGAGCCCACAAGTCTCTCCTCCTTCCTCCTCCCCCTCCCTCTGCCTTCCTCCCAGCCCCCCTGGCCTCCTCACATTCCCCCAGACCTTGGCACTTGGGAAGAAGTCTGCCCCACGCACCCTCTTCCAGCCCTTCCAGGCTGGTCACCCCCCCTCCCAAAGGCCTTCTTTGGTCGGCCTCCTCCTCCCCAATCTCACATGACAGCACCATCTGAAATGACATTGGTTATTTTTTAAATATATATATTTTTATTGACTTCAGAGAGGAAGGGAGAGGGAGAAAGAGATACAAACATCAACGGTGAGAGAGAATCATTGATCGGCTGCCTCCTGCACGCCCCCTACTATCAAGCCCGCAACCCGGGCCTGTGCCCTTGTCTGGAATCAAACCCGGGACCCTTCAGTCCACAAGCCAACGCTCTATCCAGTGAGCCAAACCGTCTAGGGCTACATTGGTTATTTGCTTATTCTTCTGGCCTCCGGTGGCCCCCAGCTCCCAGGGAGGCCCAGCTCTCATGTGGATGTTAAGGGCTGGGAATCTGGAGCCAGACTCAGCTGAATTGATGCCTCCCCCCACCCCCAGCCTCATAGTCTCATCTGTAAAATGGAGAAAACAGCACCCGCTCTGTGGCATGTTGTTGAGGACGAAAGCAACGATGGGAACAGAACCGGGATGAGCAGGAAGAGCCCACCGTGAGCTTTGGTGTTATTGCCCACCACTGCATCCTCAGAAGCATCAGGAGGGGACTCAGCCCAGGTCCTATCAAGGGCCCCGGGCAACACCAGCCACCCAAACCACACCTACCCTGCCAAGCCTGGTCCCTTCTCAGGAAAAGGCAGCACCTGGCCTCTGAAATCCTGCCACAACCATTTCGCCTAATGCATGCCTGGGCTGGCACACCCGCCTGGCAGGTTCTGCTGCCAGGGCTCTTGTCTGGAGAGGCCGCCGCACCCAGTCTTCGCCCATTCTCCCTGAGCCGTGTCTGCACCTCTGAAAGGGCACATGCCACTCCGGTCCGCTCCAACCCCACCCATCAGGAGGATTGGGGGGGCTGCAGCAGAGGTCCCCACCCCCTTCTCCACCCTCCACCAACCAGGCCTGAGGCCGGGAACATGGCTGCACCAGGGTGCGAACCCACAAGCTGGGCATGGCCAGTGACCAGAGCAGTCACCCGGCCTCAGAGTGGAGGCCAGAGTGCCAACTCCAGCTCACAACCACAGGTTGGTTTGCTCAGCTCAGAGGTGGTCTCCGCATTGTACAGAAACACCATACTGTCCGACAGTCAGTGAACTTGTTTCTGAGGGGTTAACCGTTCTGGATCTACTTATAGGCTAGCCTTGAACAAATAGTACACATGCTGTAGACACTGATAGCCAGATTTCATGCTATTGGGTAATCAAATTACAAATAAGCAATGTGGTACTAGTCTGGGGTTATCAGCATGACATGTTTATTTCTAATAGACACAAAAATAAATATAGATATGTGTGCAGGCATGGGTTGGGACACACACAGACGTATTTCCTAGCTCCGCCTGCCCCCAAAAGCAG